TCCCAGCCTTAGTTGCTTTCCACTGGATTTTTTTTCCCAAACTCTCAACATCTGCGGAGGCATCCAGCGTCCGTCCCCCACAAACCCCCCCGTGGCCTGGAAAGGCCCGCGAAAGCCCCCCCCGGAGGAGAGCAGCCGGGCGGGGGGGGGCTTAGCGTTCCACGCGGGGGGGGGAATCTCCCAGAGGGGCTTCCCCCCCCACTTCCCCTCCTAGCTGGGAAATCAAACCGAAAGCTCGGGCGCCCCCCCCGCCCCTGGTTGCTTCTGCGGCCGCTTAGCCCCCCCCCGTCCAGGCCGCGGGAGGGGGGGCTGCTCTGCGGAGGAGGAGAAAGTGCCGCAGGGGGAGGGGCGCCGAGCGGGACCCCTCCTCCGCTCCGGGCGGGGCTGCCTTTCCGCGCGTGGGAAAGCTGCGCCCCCCCCGGTTCAGGCTCCGGGGAAGGGGCGCCCCCGACCGGAGTCCCCTCGAGGGGGCGGCCGTGGTGCCTTCTGAAGCAGCTTCGAGGGACGGTGAGCTCCGCTTTCTCCTACCCCCCCTTAAGAAACGACGCCCCGATTCCCACTGAAGGGCTTCACCAGGTGGGAGGGCACCCTCAAAGTGGGTGGGTGGGGGGAGAACCGGGTTTTTCTCTTGCTGTTGCCCAGTTTTGGGGGGGGGGAGGCCTCGGTCTTGGGGGACTGGCAGGGATGGGAGGGGGGCTCAGGAGCGCAAGGCTGGGGGGGGCGGTCTATGGGTCTCCAGGCTTGCTGATTCACAAGCCAAACCAAGGAGGGTCTGGGACCCCCATGAGACACCCCCCCCGGGATGGCCGGGCTGAGGTTGAAGGGACAGAACAGTGGAGACCCCGATGTGGCTTCCCTTGTTCTCTTCTCTGGCCCTTGGGCAACACACACACACACACACACACACACACACACACACACACGTTTGCAAAAAGCCCCCTTGCTTAGGAAATTCTGGGTGCTTCTCTGCCCACCTCCCCCAGGACACAAAAGTAAGTGTGCGTATGGGAGGGTCTCTGGACTTTAACTGGAGGAGGGGCTCGCAGCATGTTCCCTGCAGGAGGGAAGGGGCTGAGAAATGCTCCCCCTCCCCAAGAGCCCCCAGCTGCCCATGGAGAAGGATCCACCCCTCCTCCTCCTCCTTGGATCCCAAGAATTCCCAGAAACACCCCCCTTTCCCCTCCCTGCTGACACACAGGACGTGACGCCACCCCAATGCTTTGCTACTACACCTCCAGAAGCCCTGGCAATCCGCCATGAACTCTGGGGCCTAATGGGGAGGAGGGCAGGAGGGGGGGGGCTTACTTGATTCACCTCGAATTTGATCCCTGTTATGGGATCCCTCCCGCCTTCCGGAGGGAAAAGCTACATGGGGATTTTGGGGCACGAACCTTCCGCTCCGGCTTTGCGTTGATCGCTTGGCTTCGAGTAAACTACGCCTTTGTCAACCGTACGGCGTAAAGGATCGTTTTTTAAATCTTTAGAGCAGGGGGCCTCACACTTGGCCGCTTTAAGACTTGTGGACTTCAACTCCCAGAATTCCCCAGCCAGCCATGCTGGCTGGGGAATTCTGGGAGTTGAAGTCCACAAGTCTTAAAGCGGCCAAGTGTGAGGCCCCCTGCTTTAGAAGCCCCCAGCTGAGGCAGGACTGACAAGGTAGTTGCCAAAAGTTTGTTTTTAATACAACCCAGCACAGGAATGTGCTTACATTTGACTCGGGAGTAATCTTCACGGGTTACAGGGGTAATCCTCAAGTTACGAATCGAATGGAGCCTGCAAATTACATTCGTAACCCAAGGATTCATTAATCGGGTCAAGTTAAATGAACGCGATTCCTTCCTGCTTTGCACAATGCGCTCACGAACGGAATGCACAGGCCGTTAAGTGCACGTATTGCGTGGTGGGGAAGCCTGGGACCACCCAAGGCCTTCCCCCCACTTACTGAGACATCTCATGCTTCCTACCCACCCAACCCCATCCTGCCCCCTCCCCCCGCTGGGTCGTCACAGGCCCTTGGACTTACCTTTCCAAGATCTCCACACCGTCTCCTCTCCAGCCTCCCTGCCGTGCATGGTCTGTTTGTCTCCTGCAAGTGCTTCAAAACAGGAGTGGAGGAGAATGCAGAGGCAGAGTGGGACAAACACGCCCTGCTGGACTTTGTTGACACCCAATCTGCTTTTGGAGCCTCGGTGAGTCTGAAGGAGTGCGAGGTTGTGCCCCTGAAGGCTTCTGTTCTCCACGCCAAAAGGGACGATGGAGGTCTTCGGAGGCACAATCTCGCGCTGCTCCAGGCTTCCGTCCTTTTGCAAAACCTTTTTGCCGCGGAGGACAGAAGCCTACGGGGCCACGCTCTCGCGCTGCTTGAGGCCTCCGCCCTCTACGCCAAAAGATTTCACAAAGGGACGGAAGCTTCGGAGCCACGATCTCGCACCCCTTCGGGCCTCCGTCGCTTCGTAAACATTTTTTGTGTGGAGGACAGAAGCCTTCGGGGGCCGCGATCCTGCGCTTTCTCAGGCCTCCACCCTCTGCCCCAGAAGATTTTGCAAAGGGACGGAGGCCTGAATCGGCGTGAGATTGTCCCTCCGAAGGCTTCCGTTCCTTCGCAAAAACTTTTGATGTGGAGAACAGAAGCCTTCAGGGATGCGTTCTCACACACCTTCAAACTCACCGAGGCTGCCCGGCGCTCCAGAAGCAGATTGGGTGTCCTGCACATGCAGCCTTGGGGAGTCAGCAAAACTGGGCAGGAAGCACTGCTCTCTCTGCTCCGTTTTTGGAGAGCCGGGAGTGGCAGAGTAACCGTGCTGCTGCGTGAACCCCACGGTACAGAAGCCGGAGAGGAGACGGCTCGCTTGGGGAGAACTCTGCATCTTTGAAAGCAAGCGATAGGTAACGGGGTGGGCTAACATAGCAGGCCAGTGCCTGTTGGGTCCCTATTGGGGAGGGGGGGAAAGGCAGGGGGAATGTTGCAGTGTCCTAATGGTGAATGACTGCCGTGATGCTGCAACATTCGTAACTTTGGGACTGTATCGTAAGTACTTTTGGGGGGGGGAGGGCATAACTGGAGGACTACTGTTTGGTTGTGTCCTAGCTCCGGAGCTTGGGAGTTCTCAGGGGAGGGCTTTGCCTGTTCTCTCAGCAGGCCCTGATCCAGAAGATCTACCCAGGCAGATATGCAGCCAGCAACCCCCGAGGCTGGAGGCCCTGTAGTCTACAGATCGATGCTGGATCGCTTCCAGAAATAGCTGCCAATGTGCACCAGCATTCCTACGGTGCGTAAGAGGATTGTCTGGATGGTTTTCCTTAAGGGCTGGACCCTCCCTGAAACTCTTGGGTTTATTTGGATTCAGAGCCTTGCATTAATACACTGTGGCGATTTGTAGATGTGTTGTGTGTAGGGTGTCGATCTTTCAAAAGCGTCTCCTGCTGTGGTGGAGGAGGGGGCTGCCTCTGCTTCCCACTCTTTGGCAGCGGGCAAAGAATGGGGGCTCCCAGGGGGCATAAAGTATACTCGGGAGGAGGGGGCCAAAGTAGCACCCCCAAAAGTATTCCTGGGCATTGGACACTGCAGAGGGTTTCCTGCCCCTTCTCCAAGGGCTGCACCCCCCCCATCCACCATACACAGGTGGATCTGGGCAACTCCGAGCTAAGAGAACACAGTTGCTGCCTTCACAAGTCCTTCATATTCTGGCTTAATATAACGGATTCCCCCACTGACAAGATGTGGGTCTGGGTCTAGCACAACTCACGCCAGACAGGTCAGCGTGGATGGGTGGCGTGACTGGAAGGGCTCAGATGGGTGAGTGTGGCTGGTTGGGTGTGAAGAAGTGGACGCCGCCAGCTTGGCTGAGCACGCCCGACTCGGCCAGGCCAGCTGGGCAGAGCTAGCTGGGTGCAGCTGGGTGCACGTGGCTGGGTCAACGCAAAATAAGTCGCACTGGCTAGCTGGACCTGAGGACAATTCAGCACTCCACCAGCTCCTCACCTCCCAGAACTGCCTGCAGCCAAGCACACAGACACACACTTCACCTGACATGATCGCTCCATCATGAGATCTTAACCCAATGTGACCCTCACCTGACGTGACCTCCCCATCGCAAGACCTGTTGATCACACGAAGCAGGGGAACTCCGACACTGACATCCCCTAAAACTCCACTGAAGGTGTTTACCCAACCCGGTAACAAAACATTGGGAAACCAACCCGCAAGTTGAACCTGACCCTCACACACACACACCATTCCAATCTTGGGGACTTGCATCATCCTGGCACCACAAGTTGCCAGTAAGACACAGACCACGGACAGGCAGGGAGAGGCCCAGAGACGTCACAGGGCATGAAAAGTTAATTCTGGAGGAAGTTTGCAAAAGAAACACTGAAGGGGGAAATGAACAATGAAAGTCCCAAAGGAGAAATCGTTCTCCCCAAGCCTGGGCACGATTGGCAGCTTCCCAGCACAGATGGGGTTAAAAGTCCCCAAACTCGGAATGGCGTACGAGTGTGTGCATACTTGTGCAAGCGCCCAGCATTCTCCCCGAGTTGTCCCCGTGTCCAGTTAGCCAGTGTGAATTGTTCTGCTCCGACCCAGCCACGCCCATCCATTTGTGTCCATCTGGCCTCTCGGACCCCACACGCATTCTGTGGGGCAACCTCTCCCTTGCGGCTGATGTTGTGAAAAGTCCACTTTGGCCTCCCGTTGCCAAAGTGAGGATGGCACCGGAATCAGGGATGAACGACCCCTAAAAACACAAACCAAGCAGACAATCTGTCCAAGCAGGTCCTTTTGTCCTTCAGCTTTTCAGCGTAAGGCCCACGTTTGCCAGACAGTCAACAAGGGCAGCCTGGCACTTCCACAGCTGGCTGAGCCTCGACCCACAGTCCCAAGAGGGAAGCTCAGCTGCCAGACAGGCGGCCGCACAGTCCTGGGCGGAGTTCCCGGCAGTGCTTCTGTGAGTCAGTCAGTCCCTTCGCTTGTCCAAAGACGTAGATGGGAAGGTGGACAGTCACGGGTTATCCTCCATGGCTAGCCAGGCCAGTACCTTGCAGCGGGCCAGGCCAAGGAAACGCTGCCAGGTGGTGCACAGGTGCTCAGATGCCTCCCACATGGCCAGCATCTCGGCAGGCGCCACTTCGTGCACACTGAAGAGCACCTCCCGATAGCAGCAGGCATCGAGCGGGTAGTGAGAAGCCCCGGAAAAATGGTCCACATGGCGCGGGGCAATGCCAGCATGGCGGGCGCACAGCGCCACAAACACATCCTCCACAGGCAGCAGCGGCAGCTGGTGGGCAGCACCCAGGACAGCGGCAGCAGCTGGGGCAGAAAGCACATAGGCGGTGCCGCTGCAGTAGGGTGGGAAAGTGGGTTCCAGGTAGAGTGAGGTGGGCACGTAGTGCCGGCTCTGCGGATTGCGGATGGGTGCCACGTTCGAGTAGACCTGGCCCAGGTAGGCAGCAGGCAGACTGGCCAGCTGATCCAGGCGTCGCGCCAGGGCAGGCAGGTTGAGGAAGACGTCATCATCAGCCTTGACCAGGAAGTGGGCAGCAGGGCAATGGGCAACGGCCCAGCCCAGCATTGCCAGCGTCTTCAACGTTAGGTTTGCATAGGTGTCAGCAAAGCGTGCCTGCAACAGGTCACTGTACTCGGCCGCCTCGTGCTCCAGTGCTGCCTGCTGTGCTTCATCCCCGGGCAGACCCAACATGAAGACTGTGCGCACACGGTGCCCCGCTGCCACCCTCGCAACCGCCCAGCTTTGCCGCACCACCGCCCGCCGGGCTGCATGTCCAGGTGCACTGGCCACTAGGACCAATAGCCAGGGGTCGGTCAGGGTACAGGGTGATGGGGACAGTGGGAAAGCATTGGGTGGCGGCAGAAGCAGGTTGCCTATGTGTTGCTGCCCCACAATGTCGCCCATCCAGAAGGGCAGCGAGCGTGAGAGCAGCTCCTCGTGGTGGCTGCCAGTCAGGAAGCCAAGCACCAAGAGGGTGGCCAGGCTGCACAGGAGTCCCACCAGTACCTGGGCTGAGCGGCATAGGCAGCGCTTCCGGCAGGGTAGCATGGCAGTCACATGGACAGCAGCAGGGGCTGCGCGAGGGCCTGCAAGAGAGGAGGAGGAGACGTCAGCCCTGCCAGAGATCAAAAGGGTGGCCGAGCCTGTTCCGCCTCCCGCACTCTACGCAGGAGGCCCCGTGTCCCACTGCACACCGAGGGTGGGACGAACCAGCCTCCCTAGCAGCCTCTGTAGTCTTCCCAGTGAGCACCACCTTGTAAGGATGACCGAGCGAGTGTGGCGCCACTTCGGGCAATAGCACAGTGGCGGCCTCCTCCTCTCCTCCTTTCCCTCCTTCCGCCCAAGGCAGGGACGCAGTGGGGCTGCACAGGGCGAATTGACCTTGCTGTACAGGAGGCGACACTCGCTCGGTTGTACTGAGTCTGGCCCAGTTGTAGGTGGGCTGCATGCCCACCATGGAGTTCCTGCTGGGAGTGCCCACCTCGCTCTCGCCTCTGTATGCCACCAGGCAGACACCGTCTGCAATGCCTCCAGCTAAGACAGCTGCACCCCTGCCCCAACAGGCCCTGCTTTCCACACACACCCCCGGGGCCAATAGAGTCCCCCAGCACCACCCCCTTTGAGGAATTAAGGGACCCCGTCACCCTGCCACATTTTGGTCCCATCTGCTCCGTCGCCAGGACTCCCCTGGCCGGATGGAGGACGGAGGCTGCTGCTCGTGCTCCTCATCTGACGGATGGGGGTCCTGGCCAATGACGGGAAGGGGGCAAAGCACAGCAGTGGCCTGGAGCTGAGACAAGGCCAGGCTCCTGGCTAAGAAGCAGAGATCCAATTTCCCCGGAGATGGTTGAGGTTGGTCTTGCGAGAGCTGCCGGAGAGGTGGGGGAGTTTGTCTCCTGGGAGCCTCTGGAGAAAGAGACGCCCCGGGGCAGATCCACCAGGGCCAGCCCGAGGCCACGACAGAGCGCAGATTCAGAAGGAACGGCTGCACACATTCCCAGACTTTGGGAAGCGGCAGCTGCACTTGGGAGTCCCAAGGCTGGAAGGGGCTTGCCTTCTTCCCTCGGGATCCCCGACACGGTTTCCTTCAGGGCAGAGCAGCTCCAGGTCTGGCCTAGAAAAGGGATCCTCAGCCAAG